CAGGGGTCTGTCTAGGTTTTTCTGAAAGGTACCTATTTTGTGAAAATTTAGACATAATTTGTGAAAAATTAAAAATTATATTACAAAATCAATACAAAAACATGGTAAAAATATAGATTTATCGTTTCTTAAAGGATACAAAAATAAAATTTTAAGAAAAAGTATTTTGTGAAACTACCGTTTTTCCTAAAGTTGAATTTGTGAAACTACCTTTCACCTAAAATTGAATTTGTGAAGGTACCGCTAAACGGTAGTAAATTCGGCCTGGACAGACCCCTGAATATGTCCATGCATAGAGCTCTGCCCTATATATTGATTATGTGTTGAGAAACTGAACTTTTCATAATTATAAAATCATTGGTCAGATCACTCGATATAATAACATTTCATCAGAAGAATAAAATAACAGAATATAAACCTTTTCTAACCAATCCATCAAGCCCAAGAAAAAGGCAGTATTTTCTGGTGATTTGTCATTTAGCTTGAGGCCACATTGAACAGCATAAAAGCGACCTAGATTGAAATATGAAACAAAATAAATTTTTTTAGTGAATTTTTTAATAACAGTAAAACAGCCAAATTGGATAGACTAACACCACAGAAGCAACATACTGTTTTTTTTTATCTATATATAACAATAACTCTAGTTTTTCATATTGGTACCTGCAACAAAACAATTACAGTGACTGCCTGCTACTAATAAAATTATTGATTATAAAATTACCCACTTTTTAAAATCAAATCTACAAGGACGGAGTCATTCCAATATCGAAACGTGCTAAATTCATCCTTTAATTGTCATTTTGAAGAAACAGATTTTTGGCAAGCTAAAAGACAATCTCTTTGTATATATTTTCTTCAAACAAAAAAAAGGATTAATTGATAAACTTGAAACCTTTTTATATTTAAAAAATTGAAAATTATGATAAACATTTAAATGTGCATTTTTAAATAAAATTCAAAATCTCTAAAAAAACTCATTAATATACCCTACATTCCTATTATATACCCCACATAAAAGATATGAATATCTCTTGGACCAAATATCATGAAAATTTTAACTACATAACTAGACTTACTAAAATGAAGCAAAGAAATTTAAAATTAAATAATTATCAATAACTAAATAAATCAAAAATGGACTTATTTTTACAAAAAGAGCAAGGATAGCGCATTTATAGGGATCAAAAGACAGGGGCAGTGTTCCATCCCTCTAAAAACGCTAATTTTGAACGTTGATATAAAGTTTAAATCTGAAATAGTTTTTTTCTCTAAATGTAAACTTTCTGATTTATAAAATCAACCACTTTATTAAAGCAAATGTTTTCAGAACAAACAAGATTTCAATCTGTAGAGGGCACAGTCCCAAGTTAAAAAAAATATCACAGGATGAGACAAGCATCAGAACTTGTAATCCAATTCAAGCTACTTTAATTTTTTTTTTTTTCATTTGATTCCATGTTAAACAGCCAGACAATTTCAGTAGGCATGAACGACTAAGGTTATGGAAATATCTCTTTCAATAATAAAATAATTGCCTTATTTTTATCAAATAAGACATGAATCATAAAAAATTATCACAGTAAAACCTTTAATAATTTATCACTTGTATTCTGATGCATTACTTTGAAGATGCAACTATTATTGCCAATTTGGGGCTTGTCAATAGAGGTCAACTTAGAGAAAAGAACAAATTACTAAGGTTGTCAACTGGGAAGATTTCTGTATTGACACCTAAGCGAAAATGTTTGTTCAGTTTTTAAGACAAATAGCAGTGTTGCCACTCAAATCTTTTAAATCCCTCTGTTTTCCCTGTACATATTATACACAATATATTAAGAGGAAACATACAATCACCGTGCTCGTGTGTGTGAGCTATATTGGGTTAACAATATTTATTAGTTCTAATTGCTGGAAAAACAGCTGAACATACTTAAATAATGCTATAGTAAATGAAATAGTTTATTATAGCTGAAATATCATGGTTAAATATCCTATAGATTACGCTTTGAGTGGTCACCTTATTTTTTAAAAGAAAAATTTAAGAAACAAAATTCCCTGTATTTTCCCTATTTGCAAAGAAAAAATCAAAAATCCCTGTCATTTTAGGTGATTTTTAAATTCCCTGTATTTTCCAGGTTTTCCCTGTTGAGTGGCAACCCTGAATAGGCATTGATACTCGAATTAAAAAAGAAACTAAAACATCAAATCAATCAAACTTCAAGATTAAAACTCATTGCCATCTCTCAGCAAGCGATTATACATATATTTTTCTTTTAAATTTATTCCAAGTAAAAGAATACTCGAAGTGTGGCAGTTTCACTTTGTATTATTGTAACATTGCAGAACAGGATTTAACATGTTATGGAATATATATTGTATATCTTCTTACATTTATATTGATTTTAAGGAATATTCTTTTATTTTTACACAATATTATTTGCAACAAAAAGATTTAGCTCAAACATTTTGTCCATTGACAACTGAAAGATGTTCTTTTTAACACACTTTAAAAATTAAAACATTTCAGGAAACTTGCAGTCAAGCAAATTATGAAGAAAGAAAAAAAACACAATCAGGTTGATTACGGACAATTCTAGCTCTATGCCCATGCAAAGAGAGGAAATATAATGCAAAGTAGAAAGATAAAAAAAAAGAAAAAGGAAATGCTTATTATCAAAATTGCTCAAATGTAAATAAATAACACGAAAAAGCGTACATTTGTTAAGCACCTATAATGATTTAAAGTAAAGATTGGAACAACCAATGATTAAAACAAAACAAAGCTATAACTTCTTATAAAAGGTGTTAAAACAGCTACCAAGAACGTTGTTATGGCAACATAAATAATCCATTTGCTTTTTAACAGAATAAAATACTTCACACATAAAAAAATATAACTACTTTTACTTGGTAAATGCTTTTTTATAATAAGTTATAGTTTAATTTTGCTCCAATTCGGTTAAAATAAATAAAAGATGGAAGGCGTATTATTACGACATTAATTATCTCTTACACCAATAAGTTATTGAAGGATCCCTAGTTTCATGCTCTTCAGCAATTTTTAAGTAAGGCTGAACAGATTTTAAGTTCTGTGGAGCAATTTTTAAACTAGCCATGATTAATATCACGGTAAAATTTATCAACAAATGTTTCTTTAACTTTGCTCAGTTTTGTTTTTGTTTAGATCAGACTTAATTGTGTTGAAGTTGAAGTGTAGGTTTCTATCTCTTACTTTAATTTCTGTTTCTGTTTGCAGATTTCAAAAGAACTTATTGAGTAATTAAGTTTTAAAAAATGTTTACATTATTTTAAATACATGCAAAATTTGACGACTTAGCTATAATGATAAATTTTAAATAAATCGCATAAAGCTATAAGCAAACTTTTGAAAGAAACTGATAGTCATGTACTAATGTTGGTGTCTTATGCGAAGAAAATTCAAGACTTTTTTATTTCTGTAAGTTTTAGTGTAGGCATTTTACTATTAATATAAATAAATAAAATCAATATAAATAAATAAAGTTATTTTACTATCCTCCTATGGAAAAGCCTGAATGTAGTTTTATTTTGCGTTTTTGTCCTTTTTTTTGCAATGACAAATTTAAAAATTATATAAATATTCCCTAGTGTTTTATAAGTGTTACTTTATTTTTTAGTTATTCTTCTCAACAATAACTTGTAAAGATGGCAGCTGATTTGAAACAAAAAATTCAAAATGATATTTCAGACTGTGCAAAGAAACTGAAAATTCTTTTAAATAAATATATTAAAAGTGTTGAAGACGGAAAACAACATATATCATTATTGGTTGCCCATCAAACGTCTCTGAATAGTATCAACACTTCGAAGATAAAGGATACAGAAACCTATGACAATAATCCAGAAATAATGGCAAAACTTGACTTTAATTTAAAAAGCAATTTAAACGTAGAAGAAGAAGCACTGGAACTTATACTGTATGTATAGTTAAGCATGAAAATTTAAATTATAGCATAACTTTAATATCGCATTTCTGGCACTGAATGCATGGTTAACTATTATTATTCTGATTTTAATTTCTGTTTAAATTATAAATCATGCTATAGTTTTGTGAAACCTTCAAGAGTATAGATTATTTAAAATAAGAGCACTTTTGAAAAGAATTTATTTTGAAGACAGCAGGGGTGATTGTATTTCAGAGATAACCTGGAATTCCAGGCTTTTTGCAATATTCTTCTAGGTCTAAAAATTAGAAGCAGGGTATGTTATTTTTATGAGTAGGTCGCAGAATTCCATGATTTGTATTTAATGTGATTTAAAAATCATACATTGAAATTCCTATTCAAGTGATTTAAAAATCCAATACCATGATTTATAGTTATGCTTTTTTAAACCAAATATCGGGTTTACGTAAGCAAAAAATCCTATGCCGAGATTCGTATTCACATGTTTTAAAAATCCAATATTACAATTCGTATTCACGTGCTTGAAATATCAATTTTTGCATTTATAGGTGAATTAAAAACTATGCATTGTGATTTGTATTCACACGCTCTAATAATTATAATTATGCACTGTGGTTCATATTTGCATATTCGTATTAAAAATTCATTATTGTAATTTATATTTTCGCTTTTTTTAAATCCAATATTGGGATTCTTGTAACAAGTAAGTTTTTTCTTGAATTAGTTACTCTAAAGGTGTGATATTCTGCATTAGTAGGTAATTTAATTATAAATGTTAGTTCAAAAAGTTATGTTAAATATTAAATTTTTTGCTCACAATATTTTCAGGGTTTTTCACTCTCTACCCCAAGCACCTCTGACAAAGAAATTTATTGTTTACAAAAAAATTAAAAAGTTCAGCATTTTAACCAAGTTCTTACTTTTTGTTAAAAATCAAAGATATTAATTTTTTTATTTTTAACATTCAAGGAAATTTCACATATTTCAGGGAATGAACACAGTAGGAATAGATTTAGTTCTAGGATATTATTTTTTGCTGAAAGCCTAATAATAAATTCTTTGATAAGGAAAAAAATTTTTCCTCAAAATTTTTTTTACAACTTTGATGATAACTTTAATTATCTTTTTATCAACTATATTTTTAAGAACAGTATGTACAACAAATGCATAATTATATTATTCATTTATAAGAAATGTAAAATTCATTTCTAAATCATTATCCTAATCCAGTGTTTCCCAAATATGTGACTTTTGTGTACCCTTTCTAAATTTTTCGTAACGCTGCGTACCACTAATAAGAAAATGAATATTTGTTTAAAAAAATATGTTTTTTTTTCTTTTTTGGTACGAAGTTTTGTTAATAAGTTTATTTGCATCAGTGAGAAGGATGATATTGTTTTTGCTGCGATAAAAAAAATTGCACAAAGTTAAAAATCACATTTGGATGTTGACACCACTAATTATTAACTGTTAACTCTGCAAAAAATAGCCAATAGAAAAATATGTAATCTTAAATTTTCATGGCTAGCTTTATTTTTAACTAAAAATTTTTAAAATTTTTGTTTGTTGTACGATATTTCGCATAAGAATGCGTACCCCCGCTAAACTGTTCCCGTACCCCTGGGAACAGTGTTTCCCACACTTTGGGAAACACTGTCCTAATCCATCAATTTGGACCATCAAAGACATAACTTATCAACTTATTTAAAACTTACATTCTAATTTTTATTTTGAAATCTCACGGTGCTGGAGCAGTAATAAATATTTAGTTATTTTTTCTTATTGTTTTTATTTTTAGAGAGCAACAAAATGTTATATTTTCATCTGTTATGAAGGAATGTGATAAAGTGTCTAGCATTTTACGAAATTCTAAAGATTTAGGTCTGACCTTGAATGATCTTGCTATAGGTGATGTTAACCAAAGTCCTATTTGTAAGAAAATTGATGCATTTGATACTTTTCAAAGAAGGTTTAATGATAAGTGAGTTCTTGCAGACATTAGTTTTCATATTTTAATAAAGTGTATATTCCTGTTTTCGTCTGATAATTTATTTTTTAAATTGTAACTTCTCTTTAATGGTTTTTTTGTGCAATGAAATTATTTCTGGACGAGGAAAAAAAATTTCTTGTCTAAACATTCATCAAATGGATAATCGACTTATGCTAACTGTGCGTTTCTGTATCACTTTAACTTCTTCAAAGTTTGCAACAATCAAATTTATCACCTTTCAATATTTTAACAAAACTACTGGAATAGTTTAGTGTGTAGTGGAAAATATCAAGCATTTTTAAACTTATAAAAACTTGCATTGAGCAGAAAATAAAATACTTTAAACATCGCATAACTTTTTGGGAAACATAATCTACAAGAGTATTGTATTCCCAACAACATAACACAACTATACTCTTTCCACTACAAATCTAATCTCGTTCTGTCTTATATGAACGAGCATACATCTAATATCCAATCAGAAACACTTCCATAATGAGGATAAAAAAAAAACACATAAAAATTATTATTGCAATTAATATGTGCAATGAATATCCAATCAGAAACACTTGCATAATGAGGATTAAAAAACACATAAAAATTATAATTGCAATTAATTTGTAATTTATTTTTAAATTTTTGAAATAAACTAAAAAATAAATAAACTGTCCGGAAAAGAAATTAAAAACATGTTTTTTCAGTGCACGAAAACTTAAACTTTCCCTTCTGAATCACTTTCATTTTTCCCTCTCTTCCAGAAGTCTTATAAACTTGTGATTTCTCACTTGTTGTTCCTCTTACTCAAATCTCTTTCCTTTAAACTTGTGATTTCTCACTTGTTGTTCTTCTTTCTCAAATCTCGTTCCTTCAAACTTGTAGTCTAGCAGCAATTTTAAGAGTATTTTCCTTAAGCTACTTCAATTCGTTTGACCCAAATAAAAGAAATATATGTAAAAAAATAAAATATGTGAATTACATCCGCATTTAAAATTTTTGATGTAGCCTCCATCTACCTTAATTTAATTCTGTGTTTGGATATTAAAGTTACAGAAAATACTTTTGAAATTATAATTTATAATGTTCTTTGAATCTGCATTAGGGATTTTCTTAATTGCTTTGATATTCATAAGCCTTATTTCATTAGTAAATTTTTTCACTTTTGGAAGCTGTTTAGATAAATCATTCTCTATACTAAAATCTTTTTCAGGCTTTCTGTTTCTGAAAGTTAAAGCTTTTAAAAGATTTCAGAATGTCAAAGATATTAAGAATATTAGTTTGGAAGAGCATTCTGAAAAAGAGCTTTTACAGCTGAGTACAATGTGAAGCACATTACATTGGGTGAAAATTATTTAAATGCGTATGTAATTCACTTAATATTATCATGAGTTATTAAACGAGTTATGGAAAGCAATATGTAAAATTACCTTACCTTGTAAAATTTCTTGTATCTATTATTCATTTTTTTTTATTAATTTGTGTTAATGAAAAATTTAAAACTTTGTAGCCATCTTGCACGAAGGTATGGTCTTAGCTATTATAATATTGGAGGAGATGTGAATAAATTGCCTAAGTTATGGGATACCTCTAAAATTAAGACTATTGAAAAAAGTAAGAAACTATAACTTTTATTTATAATTTTAATTCATGGTTCCTTTTTTATTTGTAGTATCTGAGTTCTTTTTAATTGTTTTTCTTGCGTATTCAATGTGTTTAGTTTCTTAATTAATGCATTTTTAGAAAAATTTCAGAATTTTAAAGGTTGTTATTTTCAATACCATAAAACAATTTCTCTTTTATTAATGTATTTATTTTAAGGTTTATACTTTAAATCCATGAAATTAATTATTTCTATCAAGTGCAAAATGGATAAAACCTTGATAGCATTTTATACAAAGGCTTATCTTAATGTTTAAAACTGTTTATCTGTTCTAAAAATAATATAATAATTTTCTTATTTAATATTTTTCTCTTATAATGATTTATATTTACTATATAAAATTCAGACTTCCCATCAATGGTAGAAACTAAAATACACTTTGAATTTATCTATTTTTTTTAAATTTGCATCACTTTTGATAATGTCATCACGCTTTCGATCTGTTACCTAAAAATAGGAAAACAAAATGAAGAATGAACATTTGATATTGGTATTTAAATACCAATATCAAATGTTCAATGTATCAAAAATCTGAAAATAATTAATTTTAATCATTTCTGGTTATATAATCATTTAATTTTGCAATATATTGGATAAAGAATATTATTTCAGAATATTTATAAAATCAGTATTTTAAACATCTAGAAATTCTTATTTGTATGCCCTTTTTAATTACAATTATTTAAACATTATTTGTATCATAACTTAAGAAATTGTCAATTCATTAAGTTTGCCATATAACATGTTTTTAATTGTGTTGCTTTTGATGATAATCTAAAAAAAAATTATGAAATTGAAAAAATTATGACAATGTAAAAGGAGAGAAATGTTGGCAAATGTTTATTTGTAAAGTTTTAGTCATTGAGCTTAATCTTGCAACACAGATTAATATTTGCCCAGGAGTCAAAAATAAAATGTCACCCAGAAAAATTTTTGCTAATGATCAGATTTTCTTACACTAGTAACCAATCTTAATGGTTCTGAAAGTTGAGTACAAATCTGCTGATAAATTAGTGCTAACTATTAATTAAATTTGCAGAATCAGATTATATAACTCTTTAAGCAAATTGAAAACTTTTTGCTCACAATTATAAAATTTTTTGTTAAAAGTTAATCCTATATAAAAAGTTGTTTTAATTTAATACTAGTCTAAAAATGTTTTCAGTGTAAGCTATACAAAATTTTAAGTAAATTAATCAGATAGTTTTTAAGAAATCAAATTCTTCATGACTTCTAAGCAGCCACAGGAAGTTGAGTTTCAAGAGTTACTGTTTCCAGAAGGTTCTCGCTAATGAGGTCATGGAGAACAATGTTCACCTTTTTAAGGGTGCTGTGGGTCCTTATTTCATTTTATTGGATGACAATGTTACACTCCACAGAACACTTTCATTTGACTATTTTCTGAAAAATGAAAATATTTGTTGGATGGATTGGCCAGCCAGATCACCAGACCTCTACACTATAGAGCATACCTGGGGTGCTTTGGAAAGGGCGATTGCAGCTCGTAACCTATGCCTGAAAACTGTGTTTCTGAATGAGTGGTACAAACTGCCACAGAAACTCATAAACTGCCTTATTTCAATCATGAAATCATAGTGTGAGCCCTGGATTTTTATACCAGAGGGGCCATATCCTCTATTAAACCATTTTTTTTATTCAGTTCTGTAACCACTCTTTGATATCATCCAAGTCTGATGAGTGTTATGCATGATCACGAGTGTGTATTTTAACTGTTAAATTTTTATTATTTTTACATTACACCAACCTATCTTCAAACCAAATTTTACTAAAATCTGCCTAGTAGTTCTGCAGATAATCAACCAAATACCTCTAACCTAACCTAAATCTAAACCTCAACCTAATCTCTCAATTTTAAACACTAGTGTAGTTAGTATTTACTAATTAGCATATTTGAAGTTTACCCTTTGAACCATGCTTTGAACGCTTAAAATTCTGATCATAAGAAATAAGGTTATATTAAGGTTGGTATCTTTTCTTTCTTGGTTCACTGTATGGACACCTTAAAATAATAGTAGTAACTTTTACAAATACATTTTTTATTTTGGTAGCTATTGTATAGCTAATTGTATTATCAAATTTGCTAATTGTAACTCTAACTGTTAACAATTAGCTAATTGTATTATCAACTCTGACATAAGATGTTATGTCAGAGTTGATAATACAATTCTCATTTACATTGTTTTCTTATTTTTAATTTTTAATAATAAACAAAAAATATGGGCTTTTGAATGTTGGGGAAATGATTTAGATATTTAAAATTAGATCAATTTTTAAATTAGGAAATGTTTTGTACAATTAATTATCTCAATATGAATTCTATTCTTTTCTACGCAACATTTTTCTTTTACAGATTTACTGGACATTACTTCAAGATGAAGTTGGTTTCACATTAAAAAAAAATTTTTAAACTAAAATGCCAAATTGTTTTGTATAAGTTATGCATTATTTTAAAATGAAGTTGGTTCTGTGTTGCATCACTATCTTTGCATTTACTATTTAATGCAATATTGTTTTTAATAAAGTTTTTTACACATTGTCAGTTTTAATTTCTGTTTCTCATAATTTATCTTGTATTGAATTTCTTTTTTATTTTATGTTGTTACACATTTTTAAATCCACTTTAATTAAAAAGTTAAGTAGGGGAAAAATTAAAAAGTAATAAATAAATCCAGAATATTTTATACAAAGAAGTTTTCTTGAAATTTATGGCTCAGTAGAATTGTCCTTTCCCTTATTTTCTATTTTTTAATGCTTTTATTTTTCTTTACCAAGATTTCTAAATACAAACTCTCTCTCTTTATATATATATATATATAATTAGCAAACATCAAAAAAGCAAAAAGTAACACAACTTTGTCTTATTTTGAGTAGCTTTGTGATTATTATTTTTAAAAATTGATATAAACTCAAGTTTCAAATTTTAAAATATTTTCTTTCGGCAACTTTTAAAACAAATTATTAATCACATGGCAATNTATATAAAACCCAAAAATTACATATAGCCTACGCATTCTCCTGTGTTCATTATCTTTGTCTCACAACAAGGCCTTTTTATGTTTAAATTATTTATATATCATGGTGTTTGTAGAATGTGCTCATCATATATAAAGGAAAATATTGTAAAATAACTAAAAAAAATATTAATTATCTTAAAACTGATTAAAATCTGTTTGGGAAAAGTGTGAAATCGTAAAGGTATAAATATTAATTTAGGTTTTAATTTGTATTGAATATAGATTTCAGTTTAAATAATTATGTTCAAGAAAATTATTGTGAAGCAAATTTTAAAAAAAATGAATTTGTACTAAATAAGGTATAGGTTTTTGCCTTTGTCAGATGCCGTCATAATTGTAAAATGATAATATATAATTGATTAAAAGATATAAAAAGAATTGTTCAATTGTTTGAAAATGCCCAATGACATCAAACTCGACCCTATCTCTAACTGAGACTCCTCTTATTCTCAAGTGAAGGAGTTGAGTTAGATGTTATTAAATAGATTTCTTCGAAATATTAAACATATTTATTTTATTTTTTTTGTTCAGACAAGTATTTGCCAAATACTTCTTCATTTTTATAAATTTATGCCTCATTTTCAACACGTAATTGCAATCCAATCTGTGAACTGAAATGTTATACCTGTGAGATAAATTATGTTAAATTTTTTCTTAAAATCTAAATTTGCAATAAGAAATCATGAGCTCCTAAAGTTTTGAAGTTAAACTGCTCTCCATCTCCAAGGGTGATGTTTAAGGATCAAGTTTATTATCATTCAATGCATATTTAAAAAAGATTTCATACTTTTATTTCTAAATTGTGATCACGCATGTATTTATTGAGCTATTTTACTGTTTTTATGCATTTTGGTCACTTAGTGTAATTTTAGAACCTTTATTTAAAAAAGAAGAACAAAAAGGGGCCTCGAATTAATATTTAAGCTAAAGGAAATCAAAAATGCTATCGAAATCTAACAAATTGCAATCGAGTTTTACCGAATGTACAGAACTTCAAAACTTGTTTGTTGTTTGAAATTTAGTCAGTATTTTGTATAATTTCTCAACTTCCTTCTGTTTTTTTACTGAAATCAAGCAAGTTTTTGTGTTTCGTTCATAAGCTTTCCTCATTTGTGATTTGTTAAATGGTAGCTTTTTTTGTTGCATAAATAATAATTTGTGAGCATCTATGTATTTTTTTGAATATGTTTTTGGCAAGGATTCTAAAAATAAATACTAAATAGACGAAGGGCTATTAAGAGGGATAAAAATCGCCTCCCTTTTGACCTTCATCATAAGCTTGCTTCTTTACAATTCCATATTGACCTCCACTCTCATAATCTCACCTTCTCTGGCTCCGCACTAAATCTGCTGCTTTCATCAGCATCCCTCTCAATCCTTGCAATTTCTTAAGTGAAAAGCGAGAGAGTAGAAGTCGTTCACTGATGCTCTGTGGTTTCCTGTTTAAAAACTCATAGTTTCACAGTGCACTCGGCTTTTAGAAACTAGTAGGAGGATATTTGCCTTTGTGGAGGACTTTTTGATGGAACTAACCTCCTACGGTTAGCCTTACAACAAGGGGACTCTAACCTATGAGCTGTCTACCACTGAGAATATATTACGTCAGCACTGTGGTGCTGCGAGCAGGGTGTAAAATTAGTTATGACCGGCCATGGTTGGGATTCGAACCCGGTTCATCCCATTGGCTGGCGAACGCTCTATCCCCTGAGCCACCTCGACTCAAGTACATTACAGTTAGATTAATAATGTGAAGGTTATAATAAAAGATAACAAGGGAGTACCTGAAGTCTGTACATAAGATATTTGTGTGTGTGTGGTTTTAACGTTACAAGTATAATGGGGGGTGGGGGTCTTACAAATTGGCGATCGAAATGGGCTGCAGGTGGCGAAGAGCAGAACTCTCTACCTATGGCAATACTTCGCATGCTTTCCCCATTAGCGTGTGGAGAGTCATAGAGGAAGGAAGTACGTTAGTTTTTCTCTTGATTTTCATATAGATTGAAATCTTTTAAGTTGGAGAACTATATGGAACTGAAAACTACATTAAACATAGTTCTAAAGAAAAGTATCACAGAAATTTAAAAAAATGTTTTCATCAAATAATAAGGAAAAATATTCAGAAAAGGGAAAATAGCGTAGTACATTCCTATACAACTGAAAAGAGGAGGAGAGGTAAGAGAGAAGGGTCAAAGGCAGGAAACCGGTCTCTCCCCAGATGGCGTATTCGAGCATTGCGATCGCCAATACTGAATTTAAGGTTTTTGAGGACCAGTTCTGATACTAGTTTTTTTAGTACTTATTATTATTTGTGAAACCTAAACTTCCTAAAGAATTTTTTTATTTTATTTGCAAAGTTCATAGTTTCCTTTTTTTAAGCACTCTATTTTGCTTTCTTATGCTGAGTTTTCAAATTTAGCAAAATAATTTGCCAAACTCACTTTTTCGCCAATTGTTTCTTTGGCACTTTTAAATAAAGGCACATAAGAATCTATTATAAACTTGTAATTTAGACTAAAATACAAAGTGTTTTTGACTCTCTAATGCAAAATATGAGCAATGCAAAAAATATATTAAATTTACAATTTATTAATTTGTTTTTGTTTCTTTTTAATGTAAAGAAAAAAAGAAGCACTTTTCTATAAGCTGTGATTTTCCTCAAACTGGTGACAATTTAAATCCTTCAGGAGGGAAATGTCTTTCGCCTTTTACGACCAGGAATCAAAAAGATTTATAATTTTTCTAAATAAAATATTCAATAGAGGTCTATTTTTCGGACAGCGAATGTTGGGATTTATCAGATTTTTTAAAAATTCTTTTACTGTTTAATTTGAAATCCCCTCCCTTTCCCGTCCAAAAGCATGGAACCGGTCTTCTCCCCAGATGGCGTATTCGAACCATAGAGGAATTCGAGCGTTGCGATCGCCTATAACATAAGCGGAGGGATACACCGGAAGTTCTTAAAATTTTTTATGGTTTTTGGAAGCTTGTTTGTTTACATTCTGTCAACCAGTCGGCAAGATTGCTATGAAGATATTTTGCCGATTATCGGTGCAATAGCCACTGCCCAATGTAAACGTAAACAAACACTCTTAAGGTCTCTGGTTAAGAGTATAGAAAGTTTCAAATTGCTTAAAATCAGACCCTTGTAAACTCCAAATTGGACGCTTTTATATCGAATAATAAAATGCTTCATCAGTGCACCCTGTGTAACAAAGATTGTAGAGATAAAAAAACTTTAAAACAACATTACCGTGTTCACAGTGGAGAAAAACCTTATCCATGTAATTTGTGCAACAAAAGTTTTTATACTTTAGGTCATTTAAAGGAACACGGTATGGTTCATACGAAAGAGAAAATGCATACTTGTGATATTTGTAACAAGAGTTTTGGTTTTAAAAAATCTCTAAGTCGACATCGTAAAACCCACTTAGGGCTAAAAATTTTTAATTGTAGTATTTGTGATAAACGTTTTACTCGAAATTACGGCTTAATGGTTCATTATCGTACTCACACATCTGAAAAACCTTATCTGTGCACTGTTTGTAACAAAATTTTTAAAACAGGTGATTCGTTGAAGTACCACGTATTAAATCATTCTGACAAAAAACCTTATCCATGTGATGTGTGTAGCAAAAGTTTTGTAAGAATATCGCTTTTAAATCGACATCGTCTTATACATGAAAAATGAAATTTATTGGTATAAATAGCTCTTTAGGAAATTATAGATTGATTTAGAAACCCACGGATGTAATTAATTATTGCTCACACTTTTCTTTTGTGTAACTGGTTGAAATTTCGTTTTGACTTTTTGCAATTTGGAAGGAATGTTTGGTGTGCATGCTAGTGACACTGATTTATTAAAACACTTATTGTAGCTCTTGTGTGTTGTGCGGATTGTTAATTTCAGCACCAATGTCTCATATGTTATAAAATGTCTCCACATCTCATTTGTTATAAAATGTTTTCCAGGCAATGTATCATATATTGTATGATCGCACTCTTAATTATTGATGTTATTTTTTCTTGTGAGTGTAATGTCTTTCTAGCTTTATGTTTTATCTGTACTTTTTTCTAAAATTATGTATAATAAATACTTAGACTTCATAATTTTAGAGAAAGTAAAAATCATAATATTTCACCGCAATCATTTATTTATATTTTTAAGCTTCCTATTTATTTATTATATGCTAAATATGTCTGAGACATGACTTGCTTTAGATTTAATTTTGTATAACTCGTTGCCACCCCCGGGCAAACATCTACATGTTCTTTTTTTAAGAAATAATCATGTTTAAAATTTATTGGCCACCTTGACGATATAGTTGGCACAACCGATCACGATATGAAAATATCCTCAGTGTCCCTGTAGCTTTATGTTTTATCTGTACTTTTTCCTAAAAATTCTTAAAATAAATAATTAGATTTTCTAAGTTTTAGTATCAATAGTTTTAAAGAAAATGTAAATCGTAATATTTTACCGCAATTATTTATTTGTATATTTTTACCTTCTCTCTTTATTTATTTATTATGTGTTGGAAAATGTCTGAGACGTAGCATACTTTGCTGAGATTTTATTTTATAACTGGCGTTGAACAACCGACCCAATTCCGAATTTATGACTATCAGTGTTCAACTAAGTAGCTTTATAGTTTTGAACCCGATCCCGAAAGCAAGGTAACTCCTGAATTAAGCCTTGGGAAAAACTATCCTTCGCGAAGCACTTTTTTGGTAGAACTAACACACATTAGTGTTACCCGGAGAGGAAAACCATGCACATTTCTCTCGGTTAGCCCGTAAAAGGAGGTTCTAACCCCACTTAGGGTATTTTATTGCTGCACTGTTGTTTGTGCCTTGGACGGCATTAAAAAAATATATATATTGAGTTTTAAGCTTCGGGAAGATATCTGTATCCAGCATTTGTTTCTAAATTTTTATCAAGTATTGACAATAGCTCCAAAGAGATTAAATTGGATGAAGAAGACTCAAATAATAAAACTTAGTGTTATACTAGTGAATGGGAATTGAGTAGTTGTTGTGGTACCTGCTCTACTTTACTTCTTTACTAGAATTTTATCTATGATAGAATTCAATGAATGGATACCACTAGTTGATTCATTACTGTGAGAGGCCGGGAGAAATGTATTAAGATCACGGCTGTGGGTGTGGTCATTCCTGTGTTGATATTAGCTGTCTACTGTGTGATCTGGTGAGCTTATTTTAAGAAAAGTGATTTTTTAAAATATTTTTTTTTATTCATATGAATGAAAAGTTAAATCAGTAGATCTTCTAAGTTTTCTGCTGAGCTTATTTTTACGTTTAGTATCTTCTTGTGATATGAGTTTGATATTTTAGAAGAACTATCAATTATAACAGTTGTTATTAATAATATATTATAGAGTGCAAATGAAGTCATTATTATCTAGCCATGAATGAATATTTTTCTAAAATATTAGCTGTTTTAAGAATTGATAGATTTGGGTCTTTTTTGTTATATTGATGTATGTCGTAAAGTTTTGTAGCTACAACTATAAGGTTTTTTACTCGTTAACTATCTTTTGCGTGAATTTTTGATTAAATATGGCAATTTTGCAAACCACTGAAATACTACCACTTAAATACAGCTATTTAGCAGAAACAATTATAAAAGTGCAAAACCTTATCTTGAAGGTTGTCTTTTGTTTTATAGGCAAAAAATATTACAGGTCAACTGTAATAATTTTTAAAGACGAAAGTTATTTTTTATTTCTAAAACAATAATTAATTTTTTTAATGAAATATGTACTAATTTTAGAAATATACCCACTTTACTCCACTCCGGGGTAAAGTGGGTAGATCAAAACACGTTCTTTTGACTGCATTATGTAAGAAAATAATTGAACAGTTGATAAATTATGCTTCCTATTTAGAAACCTAATGTATATAAAATGTATCAAAATTTTTGGTAAAATAAATTTGATAGCTTTATTTTAGTCTTTTATAAAATAAAAGCTTGATTTTATACCCACCTGAACCTATTGTGGGCCATTACTTTGGTGTTGTGGTCTATAGCACCAATGCAACATTACTCTTGAAGTTTTAATGCTATTGAAATGCTGAAGTTTAGGCTTGCTATAAAGGAGATTTTAATGTATGGTTAACCATATTATATACTCAAGTGTAAAAAAGAAATACTCGGATGTCTATGTTGTTAACCTTTTAGATTTATTTTCAAAATTCCATCATTTTATTTTTACATAGTTGATTTTTTCTCCAGTGTTATTCCTTTGCAGTTTATTCTTTTGCAGATTTCTTTAATGTATTGAATAAAATGCAGTAAAAAAAAAAAAAAAAAATTATCACATTAAAAAGTAATTTGATGTTTCAAACTAATAAATATCCAAAATGGGGATAACATTCAAACCACAGCAATTCATGCACTTTATTTTTTCATTATTTCTAATATTTTTATTTCAGTTCATGTCTTTCAACCTGATTATATGTAGTTTGAAAAAAGCTCATGAACGTAATTGTTTATAGTGATAAATGCAATAAAAATATGTGATTACCGCAATTCACAATAACTGTCCGAGTAGGTTTTATAGTGAGCTTATAGTTACAAACAAATACCAAATGCTAAAACAACAATAAAAAATCGACACATTTGCTTTTTTCTTCTTTCATTTTGATGCAAAATACATATCTAGAATAGACTGCTTTTGCCTACAAACTTTAGCCTGAATGAGAAGTATTTGAATGATGTGAGGAAGAAAGAAAATGAAATGCAAGTGCAATAAGTTTTTGATGTCATTAATTAAGAATGAAAATATGCTCATTTGATGCTTTCAAAAATGGAAATGCTCATTTATCATTTTTTCTGTCCAAATTAAATGGTCAACAAAAGTAGTTATGTCAATTGGTTCAATGTAGCCAATTATGGCTTCTTAAATGTCCTGATATGATAAAACAGTTAACAATAGTACAGTTATTTAGAATAATCTGAACTGAAGTACCCCCCCCCCCTCAAAAGGTTATTAACTAATTTTTAATAAAATTTTTATTAGTATAATATTTTGATTGTAAATATTTTTAGTTGTTAATTAGGATATCAAGAAAACTTCATTCAAATACATATAAAATTTTTATTTAAAATATATCTATAAGTGTGAAATATAATTTTATGTACATGATAAAATGTTTTTGCTTATTTGATTTGACACAATATGCGCTGTTTTTAAAATTACATGTAATATTTATAAACAGTAATTAAAAACTACGTAAACGGAATTTTAAAAAAGAACTGGGAAAGGTGCGAACGACTGGATGTCAATAGGGAATCATGTTTTTGACTTTTTAAATAATATATTTTTTCCTTAAGTACTTAAATTATGATTATTCGACTTTATTTTCAAAAAATTAAAAAACGAAACAGTTTTACTAAAAATAATTTATTTAATGATGTAATGTTTAAAATTTTATGTCAGAATCAGTATTTCATTTAAATATCGTGTAAAAGCATTGACAATGAAAATTACGCATACGAAAAAAATTTATTTTTCAAACTATAATTAAATTTACGGTATTCTTATTAATAATTTACCATAATTAAATTTATGGTATTACTAATAGTTAGTGATAGGTATAATTACCTATCACTAACCATTAGCACTGGCCATTTTTAGATTCCTTTGGTCCATCCAGTATATTCTATTTCTTCCGTTTTTTTATTATTTTTTTTCCAGTTTTTTTGGAAGAAATCACAGCCATGATATGTACTTAACTATTAGCTATGCAATCATTGCTTCCATAGATTTGAAACGTACTGATACTTACATAGATTTGTGAATTATTTAGATACTGTAAGTAACGATGACAATTAATCCTAATAAGAAAATATTTTTAGAGCTTTTTCTTTCAGCAACATTTTCAATTAATATTGTACGATTTCAATTGAAAAGGTGTCTGTTAAAATTGTACATGAAAATTGCATTGTTTTACTTACAATTTTAAAAGGCAAGCTTGAAAGTGAAATAATTTTATTTTTAGCTTGGAGAAAATCACTGAATTGCGCATGGTTGTATAACAGTGATTATTTTTATGATCATGATGATGGTTTATGAGGATAGTAAATATCGATTAATGAAAGTAATAGATAATAATAATTAGATAGTAAATATAGATTGATGAAAGTATCAAATAAGAGAAAAATCAATACGCTTTAACACACTATTTGATGGTTGATTTCAGGTCAGTTTATAAATATTTTACTTGTTCAACCCGATGAATTCGGGTAACTTGAAAAATGGAGGCTGGTAGAAATAGAGAATTTATTGTTACTTCATAGTTTTTCAATAATTTTATAGTATAAACTGACATCAATGAAGACTTTTGGAAAATAATTTAGTTTTTCTACATTGTTACGGTAAATATTTATTGCAATAAATATGCTAATGCAGCAATAATTAATGCATGTAAATAAATAAAGGTACAGGTATGCTTTTCCTGATTTCTTCAGCGCTTGATGCAAATTCGAGTTAAATAGTCACAAATCTGAAAAGAAAAACAAAACATTTATATATTATCACTGATGTACATAAATATTGCAGTTTTTTATGTTTATTTATTTTCTAGGTGTTCTATATGTGTGTAGCATAAACTAGTAAATTCAAATTCACTTATAAGAAATATTAACTCCATTCTATTAGGAGGTACCTTTTGATAGATGAAGGTTGACATTGTAAGTAAACTAGCTTCACATTGGTGACTCAGACGTGATTTGAAAATTCCTACCTCTACAGAAACGCTCACTTCGATATGAGCACATCTAGTTTGATGGATGGACCACAGTGAATAGTTGATTTGCTATTTGTGACTGCGACGCCTTCTCACGATGTTGCTACTGGATCTCTATCAAATACTCCAAGCCCGGTGATCTTAATACAGCTCTCCCGGCTTCTCAATAACAACGCTGAATCAAGTAGTGACCCGTTCTTCGAATTCTATCACAGATTATATTCTGTTTTGGGAGTACTGTAGCGTATGTACTAGTACAACTATTATATTCCCATTTACTAGTATGTAAGACATATTCACTCGATTCTACCAGAAGGTACCATTTGATAGATAAAAGTTGAAATTGCTGGTAGCCCAGCCTCATATGCGTTTTCGGCTCTCACAAAAAAGCACTCAAAATTGCAATAACTTTTGAATAAATTAGAATTCCCAAAAAAAATAGCTTGTGTTAAGTTCATAAACAAGAAGGGCTCTTTTCGCATGCTAGGTCCCGCAGTGGACTGATCGTTAAGACACGGCTCCCAGCAGATCACCGAAGTCAAGCATCACTGGCTACGGTCAGTGTGCGGGTGGGTGACCACTTGGATCAGTCTGCGTAGGGACCGAGGGTGTGCGGTATTGGTCCTCGTTAAACTGTGCTACCGTAAAGTGCTCGACTTCGCGCGCAGGTCGTCGGGCTACCGAAGCGGGGGTGCCATCCCCTCCGCAGAGGATCAAAATTGTGATGGCATGTCTTCGGATCATCCTCCGGGATGTTTCCCAGACCGTCGCCAATAGCCCATTGTGCAGCTCTAGTGCGACGTAAAGTAACAACAACAACAACATTCGCATGCTAGATTTCAGCTCTTTAGTTTCATTTCGGTGCCCTATAGAGCAGCCCACGTGGTATTTTTACCTATAAGTTTAAGAGTTAATAACTTTCGCACTAATAATCAAATGTTGAACTTTATTCCATTGTACTCCGTAAACGTTTTCTACGCTCCTTAGTAACGTCAATTTTCTTAAGTTTTATGGTTTAAACGCAGAAAAAAAAGGATAAGTTGAACATTTAAAACATTGGCGGCCCTAATGACTTTTTAATGTGGAGAAAGAAAGACATTTTCCCTCACCTTTGAGGTGTTTCATTAGGATTCAATTTGGCATTCATTATCAAAGTTAAGGTGTGCAAATGGTTGTGTGATTTCTAGATACTTTGTGTATGGACAATATTCCTGACATCCAGGCAACGTCAAAATTTCTGGAACTTGATCGTACTTATCATAATTAAGTGTATTCATAAAGAGAAGTCTAATGTAAGGATCGTCTTGTGGTCCAGTGTAGAGTTCAAAGATGAGAGTCGAACAATATGGTATCATTCGATTCGTAAGAAGGTCTAAAGCAGCCAGAACCACGGCAATATTATCATCGTGCTAAAATTAAAATAATAGTTATAATTCACTTATACTTAGATTAACATTCATTATGAAATCTTTACTTTCTTACTAACAGTCAGCAGAAAACAAAAAAACGAACCACCCTGATTATCTTCGGATTTAATGATCGGATCTTCATGTTCTAGAACTTAATCATGCTAATTAATTAGGGCTGACGATATTTTAAGTTACGAAACAGACGCAAAAACGTACATTCTCTGAATAAACGTAAGTTTTCTTTTGTGACGGGTTTAGATTTCTGACCCCATGAAATGTAGGACGTAGCCGCAATCTAGAAAATATGGTCTTTATAGTTTGGTTGGGAGAGCGCTCCAAAGTTCGAACCCCTTAATGTTAATTTTACGTTTTGTGTATTTCGTTAATCTTTGGAACTTTTCAATAAAATTAAAAAAAAAATTGCACGCAATTATAAATTCATTTATCCATGCCGAAAATAATCTTTTTTAATTATTCAGTATTCTTTATTATTTTATTCAATAATGGTCGAAAAAATTTTGAATTGTAAGGTGTGCAATTTTTTGCATCATTTTAAAGAATAAAATTTTACTTGGCGAAATGCAAAATTTCTGCAAAATCGGCCAATTAGTACCTGAGAAATTGAATTTCCGAAAAGTTGGATATTTAAAATTTGATTTCTTAGGAATTGTTCGACCTATTCAGCATAAATTTTGTATTTTGCCATGTAAAATTATATCTTTTAAAATTATGCAAAAAATTTTATACTTTACAGTTAAAAAAAATTTTTTTTTTGACTTTCATTAAATAAAATAATAGAAAATAATAAATATTTAATAAAAGTTATTTTGCACGAATTCTATAATTGTGGGCAAATTTTATTTCAATTTGCTTAAAAAAATTCTCGAGATATAACAAATACGCAAAAACTAAAATTAACATTATGAGGTCCACATTTTAAACCGCTCTACTAACCAAGCTATTGGAAGGCTACTCCCTATATTTTGGGGGTCAGAAATCTGAATCGGTAACAAAAAAAGGTATTTCCCTTCAGAGAAAGTACGTTTTTGTGTCTGATTTCGTAACTTAAAATATAGTCTCCCCTTATTAATTAGCATATTTGAGGTCACCCCCTCGAGCCATTAAAATCGAGTCCTAGAACGTGAAGATCTGATTATTAGATCAAAAGTTATTCAGGGTGGTCCGTTTTTTTTTTCGCGCACTGTACACAATAAAAAAAAATATAGAAAACTTTGAATTTAATGTTTCAAAATAAACAGTACTTTTCAACTTTGTAGTAAATTATATGGGGAAAAAAAGTCTAGAGAGGTCTTAACGCCCACAGGGCTGGGTGGTAGCGGCCTCGTTGATGACCCGCGGTCATTTTTCAAAATCAGTAGCAACGTTTTCTAGTGCTAAAAAATACTATCAACAAAATCAGGGTCCATACATGCATTTTTAAAGAGGCATCGCAATACATTATGTGATGCAAGAGAATTTAATTTCTATATATATTTCTCTTACACGGCGACAAAAAAAACGCTAGAAAATCGACCAATGATTGCCGCTAAAAATGTCACACGCCAAATCTAGCTTAGCTCAACATATAGCGCTTTTACAAACGGAAGCTGAAATAACCAGAGAGAGCATTCTCACCAAATGTGATCTCTTCCGATATTCACCCTTTCAGCTGCGGCAATCTCATACTATTAAGCTAGGCAGAAGTGAGTAGTCTTTGTCGATAGATCTCTGTTTTAGTATTTAGTCGAAAGTGCTTTTCTTCACAAATTTATGTATTACGAATTTATTTGACGATTTTTGATTTATATCACGAATTTATTTGCTTAATTTAATAATCATTTCTGTGTGACTTATTGCAATAAAACGATCACTGAATGGTAAATATTAAACATTTATACTCGTATGAAAGTTTGAATCTCAAATACACGATTCCGAATAAGTCTGTCGTAATAATATCGTATTTAAAATAAAGAGATTTTTTAAAACGATGTGGAAATCGCAGGGCCGGAAGTAAGACAACTAATTTTAATGACTGTCGACAAATTAGAAAATGACGTTGATTTACGACGGTTTAGTCCGCAATGGAGAGCGTAGTCTAATTTAAAATTCAAGTGACGTAATAACATCATGTTAAACATAACGTTATTTGGAAAGTAATGTAAAAAATAACTTCCGAGAAAATGGTCGGAAAATGAAATAAATGAACGTTATTGGTTAACTTATCTAGTAAAAACCGAATAAAATCTAGTATTTTTGAAACGTGGAGATACTTCTGAGTAACAATTTCAGACAACCTTAAAAGTAAATGCATTCATTTTCGAGACACGGTTCTAATTAATAACTCCTGAAAATAATAACCCCTACCTGACGTGATGCATTTTTGTTGTTGGTTGTCTTTCAGAATGCTTTGATATCCCCATGATCCAACCTTATTTCTTTAGCTTTAGCAGATTTGCTAGTCAGTGTTGCTCCTTCTTTTTGAAAATGAACTAAAGATGTTCTTCTTCCTAAGAACATAAGGAAGAGTTTACAGCCAGCGAGAACTTTCGACTTTGGTGCTTTAGCACTGGATTATGTGACTTTATTCGTGACTTTAATCTTGGATTATGTGACTTTATTCGGATATACTTTATTCGTAACGTTGTATCGGTAAAGTGTGTCTAAATCAATATGAAAACTAACGCCTGTATGAAAGAGAATACGGAAGAAAAAAAATTTACAGGTTATTTCTGACATTTTAACATCCAAGTACAGAAGTGTATTGCATCAGGAGAAGACTCTTTTAAGTTATATTAAATGGGTATGACATAATATTTTAAGAAAATATTTGATAAGTCTTGAAAATTTATAATCGCACTTAGTTTAAAACATAATCATATACTTACTGCAGAATATGTTCGAAATTTCAGCTCAGGAAGAGTACCATTCATTTTCTCCTCGAACATATTATTAATAATTCCGAGTAATGGACCTTAAGAGAAATGAAAGTAAATAATTATAATGCATAGTTATAACTTTCTCTGCATCCCAAAACTATCGGACAGTATTTGCCGTTCATTTTTTTATGCTGTACCTTTAAATTTTATAAATTTTTTTAAGAAGATACTTAAATAAAAATATTGGTATGAGGCTGTTTACAAACATAGAGACTTAGGGCCGGAATAGCTTAGTTCAGGGATGGCGAACCAATGGCACGCGAGTAGTAATAGCAGGCATATATGCGGCGGAAGTGACGTCACAGTCAACCTGAGCTTATTTCTGCCCCAACCGGAAGTTGCTTATTTCTGCCCACCTACAAACCGGAAGTTGCTTATTTCTGCCCGCTTGCTTATTTCTGCCCGCCTGAAACTTCGTCTGCAGCGTCATGGGGAGCTTATTTCTTTTTTTCTTAAGCCTAATATATTTTTAGTTTCGGTTTCTGTTTTTAATTCAGTTTCGTTTTTTTAAATATTATTTAATTTATTAGTTTTTTGAGGGTGACAACACTTATTATTTTTAATATTAGTTTTTAAGGATGGCAACACTAAGAAACTTTGTTATTTGGGGAGATATTGTTTATTACGTCTCTTATTACATAACACATAAATGATATCATACTTTTACTCTAGTGGCGTCATCTATGTGAGAATTTTAGAAATAAAATAACTTTAAATCTATTTTAATATTTAAATCTGTTTTAATATTATCGATTAAATATAATTAAGGCTGAGGATCGAACTCACGCCATCAAAAAGCCTTCGTGGGTCAGTAGTTGGATATCATAACCACTGACCCACGAATGCTTGGTTAGATATGTGTTAATAAGTTAAACTTTTGTATTCTGAACACGTGTATAAATGAAAAGGATTTTGGAGACACAAATTCAGAATGAT